CCCATTGACATTCCTAGATGTCAGTAAAATCATTAACCCCACAAACAGGGGCTCACAACAAAGCAGGACGACGCACCCACACCTGTTGAGGCACGGTGATTCTGACGCTGTAATATCTGACAAACAGGTTCAACACTCATCCATGCTGGAGAATGACGGGGGGGTTCCTTATGCTTCAGGGAAATTCACTTGTTACAGCAGCGAGGCAACAGAGATTAACGAGAGGCTGCTGGACTTGTAAACGTTCTCTTCAGAGTGGAAATATGTTTAGAGCAGGGGTTTATAGCCAATAAAAATATCTGCAAACAAAATGTAATTCATCAATCGAGCCAACAAAGTCCAACACACGTGCTCCTCTGTCCTTCATTCTTATGTGTCACAGCAGACAGAGACAGCAGGAGTTTTTCTCTCCTTTCTTTCAACTGAGTGCTTACTCTGGCCATTAACACTTTTATTAGAGCTGATGTCACACGAGAACGACCACGGAGTTTAATGACAGTGGTATAACAGATTGGACTATTTTTATATATCTGTTACTTCTGCCTCGCTCATAAACTAAACACTGATTAGAGGATTTTCAAGCACTCTGGTGACATCGGACACACACACACACACACACACACATGGCAGTGAGGAGTTCTGGTGCTCACCCCAACACCAGCAGTCCTGGGCTGGGAATTGAACCTACAACCCCTCCAGTTGTATTAGCAGCGTAGATGGCTTTGACATTGTTTATTTAAAGTAACTAACACTACACACCTTTTACCATCCGCCGACTGGAAATGTCAATGTGTAAACCACAGAGTGGTATCAACCCACAGTGTTTGCAGACGGAGGAGTCTGGAGTTTATCTAATCCCTAATCTGTTGTAATCTTGTCCACCAGTGTGTATGTTGTGCACGTGTTTTTACCCCCACTCAGGACTAACAAACTATCTTTTCCAAAAGGGAAATCCCTCAGTGACTAAGACAGTCTGGAGCACCGCCACACATGACAATCAATCCCAATCTGTCTCACCACTCCATTGTGTTCCTCTCAGTGCTGCCCTCCTCCTGGCAGCAGTGTTACTACACCTTATAGATTACCCCAAGGCAGACAGGGCCAGAGGCAGACTGTCTGGCTACCACCCAAATGGCTTTCTCCATGGATATAAACAGCCCAACTACAGGCCTGGACCACACATAAACACCATACTGAGCACAAGGTTTGCATGAGAACTCTGGCTCTTTGCTCAGTGTGTGTGTGTGTGTGTGTGTGTTGCAGAAGACGAGCAGTCAGATAACAGTGAATATAGACCCTAGACAGTGTGGGTGGTTAACACAGTATATGCTGCGCATCCTTCAAGACAGACAGAGAAATCATGTTTTCCCCCTCACATTCCAGTTACTCCCACGTTGCATCAGAATGATGGTGCACCTCACCTCGCACCGCTACAGGATTTAAAAATAACCCCCCACCCCCCAGTTATGGAAACAATAACAGCAACACAAACCAGCTGATTAATTTGAACGCTCCAATAATCCCAACAGAACTACAGGAACCACTCAGTGGAGTGGGAATTTAGATTTGGAATCTTTTATAATTCATACCCACGTGATTGCTCCAAAATCTGAATGTTTTTACTGCTTTTGTGCAACTGTCAGAATGATGGATGGGAAGACTCCTTTAGTTTAGGAGCCTAATGTTTACTAGATAAGATAAGCAAATAGTGCAGTGGGCGTGTCGGTCAACTTGGGGGTGTGGGATCATGTGTTTACACAGGGTGAACGTTTGACCTGGTCCAGGGGAAAGAAACACAGAAACTACCACTGGGGGCAGTGGAGTAGAGACGGAGCTCACTGACCTACAAAAATAATCAAAGCATTTAAAGGAAAGTCATTTAGGGGTGGTAATGAGGTTTATATTTACATAATACAGCAGTAAATCTGTCATTTGGTGGCAGACATGAAGGAGCCTCCTGTGTGTGTGTGCCGTGGACACATCTCCACAAATCTTAAAGGGGATTTGAGGTTTGAATGATATCAAAAGCCTTGAATCCCTTTGAAAAGATTAACCAGGGAAACACAGGCATCCTTACATGCCGAGTGTGTGTGTGTGTGTGTGTGTGTGTGTGTGAGAAAGAACACACAACATGCACACACAGACATGGACACATAACCTTAAGGACTGATCTGACATTCTCCTGTGTCTCTGTCTTGGTAAAGGTCCCAGCATACGGGTCGTGTGAGACGCCAACGGGGGAAAAAAAGGAAAAAAAAAACAGCACAAAAAATCTGCACAGGAAAATGTCATCCTCACAGCATGGACAGCAGGCGTACGAAAACACATGCATATACATAAAAGCAAAAGTGAGGCTATAAATACAGAAGTAAAGCAGGGACCAGCTGGGTGAAGGGGGCCTGGTTCTAATGTCAGCGTTAGTAAAATAAAGCTGATTTTACATGTATGAGGAACAGAAAACAAACTGCCATATCCAAACTTAATTATGAGGACAGAAAGCAGCAGAGCAGAGTCTGGTCCAGGCACCTGCACCTCGTTAGTCAGCGGCCTCAAAAGGTTTGGGGTTACGTTAGGACCGCCAGTTTGGAAACACTTCCTCTTCAGAGAAAACAGACATTCATATCATTAACCTGTGCAGCATCCAGGCCTGAACATGTAAACCAGCACCTGTCTCATCTGCTGTCGGCCAAAGAACGGACGCTGTAACGCCTTAAAGATGTAACATCCAAACAGACCTGGGTCTGAATTTAGTCCCAGCTTTAAAACAATTAAATTAATAAAAAGTTCTGATACAATGTTAAGGAGAAGACTGTATGGTTAATATACGTTACACTGCAGCCCATCAGACAGAGGAGTAGAGCCAAGGTTGTCTGGGAAAACCGCCTTTTATCATTCAGGCCTTGAGTGTGAAAACGTATTAAATTTTAGAATCAAGATTTTAATTTAAGACAGAAATAAAAGCTGGTGATGCAGTAACAGTATAAGGTCAGTGTGCCCTCTCCATCTTTTATGTTGACATACGCCCCAGAGGAGTCCACTTACAGTGGGCATTAAACTATTATTTTCAACACTAAACCTAAACGTTGTCAAATCTGAGGATACGTCACAAAATTTTGACAATTTTTACCCAACGTTTGCAGTAGTCTGCAAGAGTCTACTTGGCCAGATGGTAAAAAGAAGTATGCGCAGCTGTGTATGATGGGTAAAGCCTGTGATCTCATTTGGTTGGAAATCACACAAAAAGCTGATTTGCCTCTAATCAAATTCCTAATCTTATATATTCATCATGTGTCAGTTATATTTCTTATATCCAGTAGCAGTTTGTACTTGGACTTCCAAGGAACAACGTCATTTAAAGGGCTTTTGACTACAGCACCCCCTCCTGGAAAGGAAGAGGAGCTACACACTATAAGCTGAGACACTTCCTGCAAATGTAACTTTTAAGAAGTAACAGTTTCTATCAGAGCTAAAGCTGCTGTAGAGGCTTCTACTTTGAATGGATGTCACTCCACTGCCTGTGAACTGTGAATAATACTACAGCTTGTTATACACAGCACTGGGTTGGAGGTCCAGGGACTCATTCATCTTTTGTCTTGAAACTTCTTAGAAAACGGCACAGGCTGCAGCAGACTGTAGACCTCTGTGTCCACTGGCCAGCACTGCATTGGTCCCACGTAACACGAGTGCTTCGTTTACTTCAGAGGAAACAAGACTTTTTAGTTACTGCGAGTATCACTCTGTGCTGGGTATTTCTGTGTGGCGCTGCCTGGAGGCAGTTTATTAAAAGAGTGTAATGGTGTCACTTTACTCTTGTACAGTCTTCCCTGTACAACACAATTCTGCTGCTCAGAGCACACACACACACACAAACAAACTGCTAATTGCTCCACTATGGCTGGTATAGTTCATTTGAGTCAATGTGTCAATGAACATGTGTAGTGTTTGTAGTGTACGGTCGGGGTGTGTGTGTGTGTGTTCACAGCTGCTGTAGAAGGTGTGATTCATGGTGTTGAGAAGTAGGAGAAGAGATGTGTGAGCTGATGAAATAAAGGATGATCTCAGCCTCAGGCAGGTAGACCATTCTGTGGTCTACACCAGAGGGTGGGTGTTGGGGGGAGAAGGGGGTGATCTGCTCTGATTTGTAAAGTTTATAACACTGACAGAACAGTTGGTAAACTTCCTAAAATTCATCTGATGATCATATTTGACTCTCTGTCCGTGCCTAGCCTGCCTGAAGTCCAGATTTGCCTTGTATTTAAATTGCCCAGGGCCTCATGAAGAGAACAATCAGAGGACAGTGACTCAGACTGGTACTGGTGCTATAATCTAATTTAAAAAAGCCAAGTATCAAATCTATAATCCCATCTATTTTTTAAAGTTATACTTTAAAAGTAGACGAGATGTGACGTAGTCATTTCAAAGGTATTCTTTATGAATTGATTTGGTCACTGAATAAACTTAAAGTAATTGGAGTTCAAGTTCAAGCACATTACACCATTACAGTTTTGCCTTTCTCTTGTGTTCTAATTGGGTTTACCAGCGTTCCTGTGAGCGGGGTCAGTGAATGTTCTCCTAAATTACTAATCTTCATGTGCATGTGTGTCTGAAATGAAAAGCAGAGCTGAATTCTTAAAACCAAACCACATTTCCCTTTATATTCTAATAAGAAAATCCCTCTCAGGGAAACATCAACTCCGAGCAGCAAACACAAATATGACAGGTCCTGGAAAGGCTTCATTCTCCTATTCTTCATATTTTATTGGATGTGTTTGTGTTCTTGCTAATGGAAAGCATACCGACCGGAGGCCTATCCCAAGACAGTTGAAATAGCAGGGAAATACTGTCCAGTCTCTGAGGTAATAAGTAGCAGAAACCAGTTTAAAGTAATCTCATATTAGATCTGTTGCTCTCTTGTTCAACAACATCCCTGCAGCTCAACTGCTGGACATAATCGTGCGTGTAATTACGTCTCCATCTGCTGCGATCGGCTGTCGCCTTACCTCTGAGACACAGGAAGGTGAGGAAGTCCTCCGTTTTGGGCTTGCGCTTGGACAGATCCTGAATGGACGAGGACAGGGACGAGGAGGAGATCAAGGACAGGGTTGACGTGGACATGGTGGCCAGGCCCGTGTTCAGACTGCCCGTGTCGGCCACTTTGATGGGTGTAGTGCTGGGCGAGTTGGGCTGGGACTGAGCGAACTTCCTCTGTGCCTGCAGCCGAGGTCTAAGAGAAAAAAAGCAGCAGAAAGATAAATGTGACATATGTGGCATTTAATTAAAGCAGAGCACAGTAGCGTTTCACTGACAGAGGTGGTCGGCCATGAGACAACTGTCATGACGCCACGGATAACAGATAGCTTAATATAGCTTGTCACATCTTATGCTCCTTGGTCACATGAGAATGGGAACTTTTTTTTTTACACACACACACACACACACATATATATATATAAAAAGAGAGAGAGAGAGAGAGAGGAAGTACATCTTGGCTAATAAACATCAACTCCTGCTACAGATTTGATGTCATTTCTAGCTAAACTTTAGCATATGTTGGGCCAATTTTGACCTGTATATAAATTTGTGCTACGCTTCTAATTTTTCTGGTCAACATTAAGGTAATTTCAGGCTAATTTGCAGTTACTCTTGTTTACTTAAGTACTTTCCAGCTAACTTTTAGATTTTGTTCTTTTATGCCAAGACACATGTGAAGTAATGACAGTGAAATTCCTGTTGTGTAACACAACACAATCGTTGTCAGCAGCAGCCAAATCTCAACAATCCTTGAGCCAAAACAACTACAGACTTTCAGAAAGAAAAGTGAAGATGTTCCCCTCCTTCTTTGTCCTTCTGTCACTCTTCATCTTCTTCTCATTTACTCCAGTCTCCTCCTTTCCATCAAACATTTGTTTTCCCACTCTATCTTTTTTCACTCTCACAACCACGAAGCTGGCCACAAAGCTTTTAAGATGTCTCTCTCTCACTCTCTGTGTGGGATTTTTTTCACTGCTCCTCTCTTTTTTTTTCACTAAGCGTCGGCGAAGACGAAGGACAGAGGAGAATATTAAAGAAGTGGTTGTCGGAGAGAGAGAGAGAAATAAGACGTAGCTGCCTTGTATAGAAAACACCCACAGCCACACATGCTGTCGTATGTGCACGTACACAGAACATAATGGTCGTCTTTGACTGGTAAAGAGCCAAATTACCCAGCACGTTGCCTCAATCGATCAATGTTGCTGCTGCTGCTGGCAGTGTCTGTGCATGTGCACACAGTATGCAACTCAGCATTGAGGGGCAGCAATAGCAGCAATGTGATATACTGGTATTATTTGTCAATTGGCCACGGCCGGGCCTGAAGTAAAGGCAGATAGGATCATGTCTGGAGAACACCCACAATGGATTTGGCGAAGCCACCGAGAGGTGCCGAGTTCCCATTACACTTCAATCAGAGAACAGTGCGGTGTCAAAATGTGTCAATTTCCTAGCCTGACACGGGTGTAAGCTCAATTTGAGAGAAATCGAGAAATGATTGCACACATGCTGCTTAAGTGTTACACTCGGTCACAAAGGTGTGGGGAAAAATAAGGAAACAAAAGAAAAGAAAAAAAGACAGCTGTTTAAGCATGTTCTGTTAGTTTACCTCAGGCAGAATCAGACAATGATGTTTGTTCAACTTGAACTTGACGCTTCACTGTCGTATCTACAAACATTTACACAATGTAAACGACAGGCAGCGTTTGAAACCTAGGTGACAGCAGTATTTCAGCATTTTGATTCTGATTTCTGATGTTATACTGTATAAAACTAAACTAAACTATTTAATTTGCCCTGTATAAAACCACTACATCCAAACCTTTGTTTGAACATTTGTTTGAACTTGAATTACATTCATGAAAGTGAAACATTGAATGTGGTGTTCCTAATCATAATTTCATAAAGAATATTCATTGGCAAAAATATGGAGGATAGGATTGCAACCCCAAGGTTGACAAACACTAAACATTAAAACCATACAAACAGAATAAAGAAATGTGACGGTGGATAAGTGCATGAATGCAGAAAACTAACAGAAATGTGTTGCTAATGCACAGCATGGTTATAATGAGCTGTGACTGATAAAACTAATTATGCAGCAGCTCATTGTTTGCATGTAGGAATTCTGGATCTTCATTCCGAGTTTAATCTTACAGACTCCAGCCGGGGAAGTGAAAGGATTTTGCTATGATCAACACGTACTATTCTGTCAAGGATAAAATGTTGCACATTAGCACGCTGGTAATTTGGCATCTTAGTTTAATGACCTTGTTGGGTGTGTGTGTTTAAACAGGCTGACACTGAATACAAAAGATGGAGCTTCATGATTAAATACTAAATAGGAGCTTTATGAAAAACAGAATACTTAAAAGTAAAACAAAAAAAAACCCCAAAAAAACAGAGTGGGAATAGATACCAGTTAGAGCAGGGCATATTAAATGCTATTAAAAAACATCTTTAATAATAGAAGAGAAATAGGGTGTTTAGAGCTTAGGCCTTACAACAAAAGATCTCTGGTTTGAATCCAGGCAGTAAGTTTCTGTGCTCTTCTGAAACTAATATCACATGTGTGTGTGGTGAGATGAGGCTGAAGATAATGGAAAGGTGGATGGAGAAGGGGGAGGGTGGGAGAGTAAGGATGTAGACATGCAAAGTTGAGGGTTTGCGTGACTAAGTGAGAGAAAGAGACAGATAGAAAGAGAGAGAGAAAGATGGAAACAGTAGGTGACATAAACAGACACAGACAATAAACCCACAGATAAGTCTTTAACCACCAATATTTCACACTTCCTTCACTGTATTTGACACAGCATATTTATAGAATACTTGGAAGAAACAGTCTGTGCTGATGGACCACATTTGTCAACACTGTGATATGAAAGTGGCTCAATATTTTTACTGCATTGTAAATTATTTTCATATTTAAAATTATTTTTCAAGTCCTGCTAGAACCCTCCACATCAAAACCACCTTCCTCTACATTAATTACACTCCTCAGTGTGTAACAATGTCACCACAGTGACACCGTGGCCAAGTGTGAACGCGGGTGTGTACAGTGAGCACAACAGTGGAGCTGTTGCCGTCGGCCACCCGACAGACCCCAGGCATGCCGTAAATTCAATTACCTGCAATTTACTATCAGAGAGGAGGAAGAGATTGAGACTAAACTCTGCAATGAAGTCTGTCTAAACAGCAGCACAGGGGGCAAGGGGGGCACAGAGGGGAAGGGACAGGGCTGTCCATAAAAGCCTCAGAGGTAAGTCAAACCCTGGGACGTTTTATTGCTTCAGGTTGAGATGAATAGGATACAACTTAACTGCCTAAAGATAGGAGCCGGGGGGTGGGCAACAGAGTCACACACAATAAGAGACAGAAATAAACTGCAAGCAACTGCAGTGTAACAAATGAGGGCAGAAAAAGATGAGCTAATAAAGCTCTGTAGTTACTACTTCCTGTCTAGACAGTCACCTAGACACTCGGCAGTTTTTCTAAGACTATCTGCTGTTGTCGGCTAATTATAAGCTGTTAGAAAAACAATTTTAAACTGTTGTTGAGGTTGTTAGAATATGGATTAGAATGAGAAGACGGAAAAACCAGATGCCCCCGTTAAGGAAAGAAAGTTGAGCAAAAAGTTGTTATATTTGGATGAGAAAAAGCTAAAATCACACAGAAAGTTCACAGTCCAAAAGAACAGTTTCTGTTCATACAGAAGAAAATCATCATGGGAGTAATTTGCAGTGATATGACTGTTTGTATAGGGGCTGCCAATGAGTTACAGACTGGGGGTAACATGAGCCTCTCATTCTGCCCTATGTCTGCCTCTCTGTGTGTGTGTGTGTGTGTTTTAGCAAGCCAACACTGTGTTCCCAAGTGTGTCCAGCTATAGAATGCTCCCTGGTTGGGTGCCAGAGAAGGAAAGCAAGGTTTACTGCTGGTAAAATTAGAGTGACTGCAGAGTGAGGAGGGTGGCACGGAGAGAAAGATGGAAAAGGTGAAATAAAACAACAGAGTGGCAGCAGAGGCAAAGAGAGATAATGACAGGATGTCCCCATTCATCCTTTTCTAATCCACCTTTCATCCACCCCTTCTTCCTGCTATCCTTTTACTGCCCCCCCCCCCCCTCCACACACACACAGCCATCCTGCCTACAAAGAGCTGCGCTCCACTGTCTAATATTACGCATGCCAGTGTAGCTGCCGGAGCATCGACGATCTCAGTCAGTGAGAAAATCTAACATCCCATCAGCCAGCAGTCCTGGGAGAGGAAGATGAAAAGGAGAAGAGTGGAGGAAGTGGATGGAGGGCATTCTGTGATTTAACTCCCTCCAATGTTAAGATTAAAACATTTGGGGAATTCTAAGGGACTCAGACAAGATAGACCAAAAAAAAAAAAAAAATCACATTTTTTTAACCCAGAAACATTTTTTTAGACATTAGGTGAATCAGTGGAGCTGTGGCTGTTTTAGATATGCCTGTAGTGATTAGACTTGAACAAGTCTTAAGTTTACAACAGAGGACCTGGCACCGACTTGTCAAATGCTGCAGTTGTGTCTGTCGTGTCCCTGTCAGGTCTTTGTCATGTAAGAACACATAAGACTTCAATGAAGGTCTTGTATGAACGTCTTTGATGTGTCTGACAATGTTCCTCATTGTCTGTGGGGAGTCAGTGTGTTGTAGTCAGTCAGTTTGCGTCTCGTTCTCTGGCTCTCGGACCCTAACTACGAATGCCAACTACCATAAAACACCAGGACAGAAAACCAAGACTACATGGCTCCAGGAAGTGACGTCACATTGTGGTTGCCAACTGCAGTAAATCAGCAAGAGGAACAAAATGTAACCGGACAAGACATCAGTGTTACTGTACCAGTCAGAGGACTGTGGATCAGGGTCTGGTCCACATCACGGACTCCTGTTTAAGAAAAGAATCCAATAAGAACTCAATGGTTCAGTCAATAACTCAATAACCCTGAGTGGATGAGAAAAGCATCACATCAAAAAAAATAAAAATAAAAACCTTCAACAAAGCAGCAAATCATGGAAGCTTGTTCATGAGTTCCTAACGTTAAATGCCTCTAAAGTTTTGGTATAAAAAAAAAAGATGCAATTAGGCAGAGCTGACAGTTCAAAAGTCTCCCACGTGTGTTTGCTTTATTGAATGGCTGCTGATGCAGCAAATCAGCATCTCTCAGTGCTT